AGGCCTCCTCCGAATTCCATCTACTGGCCAATGCCGACTGGCGACCACCCGGAGGAGGGCCTTCTCTGTGTCTGCTCCGGCCCTTTGGAACAAGATCCCCGTGGAGATTCGGACCCTCACCACCCTCCAGGCCTTCCGCAAAGCCCTTAAAACCTGGCTATTCCGACAGGCCTGGGGCTAATGAGTTTTTGCCCACCCTCGAATGGTATGGTTGTTGAGTGTTTTAAATTGTGGTATTGTTCGTGTTCTTTTTTCTTATTTGTACCCCCCCCCCCCTCTGACTTGGTTGTGAGCCGCCCTGAGTCCCTCCGGGGAATAGGGCGGCATAGAAATATAATAAACTCAACTCAACTCAACTTTTTACATGTTCATATTCAAACATATTTGTTGCTTTCAAACGGGGTTGTTTTCAGATCTTTAAATCTGCTATTCTAAGGTTCTAATTATGCAGTATTGTAAGTTCTATTTTCTGTATTTTCCTACCTACAGTTCAATGGCTTTAAAAATAGTTATTGCAGCCCTGAATCCAACAATGAGTTTAAAAAGTACATTTTCTGAATAAGTCCAATATACTTGAACTAATATAACAATGCAATCTTAGCACATTATAATTAATCTAAGGATTATGTATCACAAGCATTGCTCATTGGCATATGCAAAGCTTATAAAATAAACATTTGTTAATATATGAAACTATGAAAGCAGTTTTTGAAGTTGTTCTTTACCCTTAATCTTCTGCAGTGTTAGAAAGCTGCTTTAAGTATTAAAATCAAAGATCCTTTTCTTTAAAATTTATCTTTTCCAACTATATTAATTTTAACTCAAATATTCACAAATCCTGCTATTCATGTTTCTTTAAATATGTTTATAATGCTAAATAAGATTGGTAGTTAAAAAATAGGAACAAGAAAATCTATATAAGTATTTTACCTACCCAGCTCACAAGAATGTGACCAACTGATTCTGTAGATCCATCAGACTTCCTCGTTTCCTTCAGTCTCCTAAGAAGATCTGATGAAAATAAAATACTGAGTATTATGGGAATGAATGGAAGACTTGGTTAATGAATCATTCACTGATAATGTTCATAATATGAAAAGCCAGGCTTAGCAGAGAATGTAACACTGGTTTTTCCTCTACAATGGACTAGGCTTTTGAACTTTTGTGTGACTCAAATATACTGTGTTTTCCTATATTTTGTCTAAACAACAGAAAAGGGAAGCTTGTCAATTTAGTATTAGTTTCTACTAATAAAAACTTTGCCAAATGTCATTAAAGCCCCTATCATTTTTATAAGAAAGTGAGTCAAAGGGCTATTCATGTTTCAGTAACAAACCTCATGCAACATGCCTAATGGTTTCTTCATACATCCGTTTTAACTGCTGCATTGACAGTTTCAGTTTTGATCATAGCAGAATGAACTGTATCTTTTATTAGAAAACATTTCCACAATTAAGCATCCAACCCACCTTCTAAAGATTAAATGATGATCAGAGGAAAAGCAAAACAACCAATAGCATGACCCCCACTTCAGAAATGACCCTTTTGCAACAATGTTAAGCCTTTCTTCTAAAAGGCTGCTTAATTTGGAATCAGAGTCCCTCCCTTCATAGCACCCTTAAAAAAAAAAAAAGAACAGCAATTTCAGGAAGTCCTAAAAGAAGCTCAATAGTGAGAAAAAAACAAAGACACACATACCATAATTTTACAAATCTGAATAAGCTGAAATAATGAGCTATGTAAAATATATCCGGAAACTTTTGGTATGTACTTCAGAATTATTATTATTATATACTTTATTTATTAAACATGAAATGCAGTCAACTGAATATTTAAAAATGTGTCACAAATACCATTGACTGGTGCTAATGGTTGACACCGGTTGCTGCCAGCGTCCTAGCTATCAACCAAATATCTTCTTAAAATATATGATGCTCCGAGTAGCGCAGTTTTTTGCAGTTCCGCTGGTGTTATTGCAGGAAGCTGCAATTTCTTGATGTGTTTTGTAAAATTCTTGGTCATGGTGACAATGGGTACATGTTTCATCCATAACCGTGTACTTTCGATGGCCAGGTCACGATGTTTTGTGTTTTTTCCAGTTCTTTTATTAAATTATTTATACATATATGTATGTACGTTTTTATGTATACATGTATACATGTATGTATATGTATATAAATTCCATAATGAAACCTTAACAGATTACAACCAATTCCAAGGTAAAGGCCTCTCCATAAACATAAACCTACACAAATATTATAGAAAATTTTAAATATGGGACATTGCTGCATATTACAGCTTTTAGATTTTGCATAAGACTCTAATATTGTATACAACCATTTCTCCAATATACTGAATGCAAGGAATTATACCTTCGTGAAGAGGAATTAAAGAATCTAGTGTTCCAAAAATTTGGTTTAATTCTTGTTCAGACATTATGGATAGCTTAAGCATTGGATCATGGTACGCCTGTGTAAAGACAGAAAAGCCGTACAATAAATATTTAAACTTTCGTATTAGTGATCATATTTAAGTTTTGGCTTCCATATTCAAACTTTGTCTTCATTTGCACTGGTTACAGAAACAGTATTAACAAGTTTCAGATAGAATATGTAAGCATGAAAATACCTTCTTTGCTAACTTTAAGTCTTCAATCAAGTCTTCTTCTCCTTGTGCAAGTTCAAATATTGCCTGTAATTTTGAAAATGAAAAGAAGGTGAGATTTTTATAAAATAAAGAAAGAAATGTGCTATTCCAAAATAAATAGAAAAATTGAAATAAGGCTAAAGACACAATTTTTTATTTTCTTTTGCAAGGAAAAAAATATGATAAAACCAACAGATTATGTAGTTACTCTGTTTTTTTATGTATGTTATATTCCAATCTACAGCTTCCGTGTTAACAATGATTAGTTGTATGACTAATTATATAGTCCATTTTGCTACATCAGAAAAAGTTATAAAGCAATGTATGCTAGTATAACAGTTTCTGATTTTTGGTTAGCATGCTTCTTTATTAGAGAATACTATTTTAATATCAATATTTCAGAATGAGTTTCATATATTTACACATAGAGACACACTTCAAGGGAATGTCTACAGAGAACTACAGGTAAAGCTAAAAAGTAGAGATTTTGTCCCCCTCTTTTCATTCTGCTCAAAGGAGCAGAAGATAAATGAGAAGACCTTGCTTCTTTTTTTCTTTTACAGGTAGTCCTCAACTTACAATCATAACTGAGCCCAAAATTTCCATTGCTAAGTGAGGCAATGGTTAAGTGATCTATTTATGACCATTTTCCCACAGTTGTTAACTGAATGGCTGCTGTTGTTAAATGAAGCATGCGGTCATTAAATGAATCTAGTTTCCCCCATTCACTTTGCTTGTTGGAAGCCAGCTGGGAGAGTTATAAATGGTGATCACATGACCTTAGGACAGTGCAACTGTCATAAATATATGCCAGTTACTAATTGCTGGAATTTTGACCATGTGACCATGGGGAAGCTGCAATGGGCATAAGTGTCAAAAACAGTCATAAGTTACTTTTCAATGCTGCTGTAACTTTGAACAGTCACTAAACAAATAGTTGTAAGACAAGGACTAGCTGTATCTTGTATGTTTCCACTTCCTTAAATGTTAAGTGCATCATTGGTCCTACTATCGGTTTTAGGACAAATTGATGGGTGCAAATTATATTGTTTCCTTAAAATAAATTGGTGCACATTGTATCTTCTTGTCCTTTAAAAAGTATATTTTTATAGCTTCAAAATAATTTAAAAGGAGGAGGAATTGTTCAAATGCCATTCTGTTTTTTGCTCCTACTTTACTCATGACTTGTTTCAAGAGATTGTTATGCTTAAGATTCTTGGGGTGCACAATGGCCTTGTGGGGGTTTTGTGGCAAAGCAAATTAACTCATTTTATTTCCAGTTGAGACTCAGTCTATTTCTTTAAAAAACCAGAAAAGCTGCTACTTTTAAGCATGAATGCTTGGAATATCAAATAAAATGCCTTGCATCTGATTGAACATGCAGCAGATCATTCTGAATGAACAGCTCAAGGGCTAATCAATTTACAACACCAAGAAACTCAAATGAAAAAAAATAATTAGTACCACATGCCTGATAAGCAGTGAATACTTTAAGGCAAGAAAATAAAGCTGACATGGAAAGGGAAGTAACAGTGACAATTGGATGGCTAATGAAGCCATGTGCTACGAGAGCAAATTTAAAGGCTGGTAAATGTTGTTGTGCTAACATCTAGAGAGCTACACATGTTCAGGAAGGAGACCTTCTTACCTCATAATTATTGTCTAAGTAGCCATTCTAGAACTAAGACAGGAAGCAAAATGTGCAATTATAACTTTGCCATTTGTTCCTGCCTTTCACTATTCTTAATCAATGGAAAAATATTTGTAGCAACAATTCACACTGGTTGAGTTCACATATCAAGAAAGGCTATAATGTTGGTTTGCTTTTAGCTTAATATGTTATAGGTACCCAGCCATTGTGGTTTTTAAAGTACATTTTACAGCTTAGCATACAATAGGTTTTACATCACTTTCCTTGTTCATTTGACTACTGCTCCATTTAAAAGCAAATCAGAAATATAGAGGAATCTTTTCTTCCTATTTGTAAACTCTACCCAACCCTCAAATTATAACTACATGAGGAAAATATATGGGTAGCAGCAATAGGAAGAAAATAAAAAAGCCATAGAATGAGGTGATGTATTTTTAAAAATGGCCCTGTCTTTATATTCAGACTTTCTTCCTTGATCCAGATTTGTTTTGCCATTATATTGCTACTTGCAGAGGATTCTCTTTCAACATCAATGGCCAGTTGGCTTTTGAATACAAAACAGAGGGGGGGAAATGATTCATTCCATTGTAGTATAAGCAAAATAGACAGAGCTCTGTAGCAGGCGCCAATCTAATCAGGTGCTGCGAGAGTCACTTTTACAGACTAGAGTAGCAATATATTAACAGTTCTTAACAGCATCGGAGTACACTCAAAAGATATGTGAGCTTAGTTGTTTGCTTGTAGACATTTCATTACCCAGCTAGGTAACATCTTCAGTCACTGCTTAATGGAGTAATGAAACATCTATAAGCAAACAACCATGCTCAAAAAGCACCAAGTTTCTTCATTTAACCCTGACTGTATATAGTCTCTTCTATAGATGTGTGGCAGTTCTGTTACTGCCCTGAGTGCAAAAAGAGGGAATATATTTGTGGAGAGCAAACGTACTATACAGAGTCAGGTACACATTCATTTTTACCTCAGAAAAAAAAGAAACTAAAAGACAATATAAATAAGCGAACCTCTTGGCGCTTAATTTCTTTGGATGTGAGCATCTGATTGACACAAACATCAAAAGTCTCACTCCAGAGTTTACTGTCTCGTCGCTTGGTGCTAGCAGAGGGTACATTTTTCATCCAAGAACGTGATGCAAGTAGATCAGTTCGACTGTCATTACGAAAACTGATAGAACGCTAGGAAAAAGGAAACTATAATTACTACTTAGATAACATTTGATTTAAAGTACCAGTGCAGAAGCAGGATGAAACCTGGTTGCTGATTTTGGACCAGCCTAGCTCACAGGTGTCATGGCAATAACACTGGATAGGAATCTATATAGTTCTTTGGTATTTTTGGAGAAACTTATAATAAGTAACAATTTCTTTTTGAAAACTTAGCCATAATTATAACTTAGTCAAAAAAGAAAATTAATAAACTTGAATACAAATCTTGAGGAAGCCCTACAATTTACTGTAAATTAAGTTCTAAATTGGAATTTACCACTGTAAACATAATGCATGTATAATTTTTATTCAGCAACAAAATGAAAGTGTCAATGTTCAAATGGGAGTTTCCATAATTATCGTAAATATGTCATTTTATATTCATTGGTCACTCATGTACATATTTCAAAAAGAATTATACATACACCATATTAATTTATGTACTTAGGCAGAATCTTAAAAGGCATTTTGCAAAAAAAAATTATTATAGAGCGGGCCTACTTTCATTAAACTACACTCTTTTATCCCTGTTTATTCATCTGATGGCACTAAAGTGACCTGCAGCAAGAGGGATCCAACTGGCATCTACTCAGAGTAAATAATTGAATTCCAGGCAAGAATATATTGCAGATGTAATCAAGATGTGTTAAGAAGTGCAGTTGCAATATCACTTGAAGAGTTCTAGACTGTATCCTGAGTAGAATTTCTGGAAGCCCTGTGAGGCAAAATAGATTATGCCAGAACTAGCACCTAAAGGGATGGGTGCATGGTACTGTAATGGTGTCAGGCATACCTCCTTGGAGAAGACAACCCATTGCGGCAATATTGTTAATATAATCTTTTTTAGTTCACTACTAACAACTATTATTTAGATGGTGTCTGTACGGAGGGAGGTTTCGAAGCAAGGGGCACTGGCTTCACTTAATTCAGTTTCAAACCATTTACGGTTTTTAAATTAAACAATGGCACTTTGAATTTGGCTTGCAACCAAATTTACAGTTGATGAAGTTTGCTGAAATATAATTGAAGGAAGTACGGGCAGCCAAACATCTGATTGTTCCAGTCTTCTCAAATTGAAGTTTCTAGATTATATTTTCAGAGGTCTTAATACTGCAGTACTCTTTTAGCAAAGCAAGGTAAACTCAATGTCACAAAGGGAATCTGGATTTTGCAGTCCAAGTCCAAATTCAGGGACACCTCCAAAGTTCCAACCATTTTTTGAGGGGAGGAATACACTCTGAAACAATTCAATAGATTTCTCTAAATTAAAGAAAAAATAGGTAAAGGTGTACCTACAGGACTGAATTCTTAATATTCATCCTTCCTGTGTATCAAAAAATGTGCCATAGGAATTTTTTATTATTGCCCCTAGTTACAAGGTAAAACATACCAAAACAAATGCAACCATTTTAAAGCTACCAAAATGTACATGATTTATCAACAAAATATTGAAAATTCCAAAATAAGTAAAACAAGCTGACAGAGCAAAGTACTCAATATACTTAGAATAGAATAGAATAGAATTTTATTATTTGTATGCCGCCCTTCTCCAGGAGGACTCAGGACAGCGAACAATTCAAAAACGGGGAAAAACAAAATACAAATAATAAAAATAGGCAACAGTCGCACAATCATACATGTCGAGAGGGGAGGGAACTCATCACCTCCAGGCCTGCCGGCAAAGCCAGGTTTTGACGGCTTTTCGGAAGGCCTGGAAAGAGGTGAGGTTCCGAATCCCTGCGGGCAGTTCATTCCAGAGGGCTGGAGCTGCCACAGAGAAGGCCCTCCCCCGGGTAATAGCCAGATGGCACTGGCTGGTAGATGGTACCTGGAGGAGGCCAACCCTGTGAGATCTAATGGGTCTGTGGGAGGTAATTGGCAGCAGGCGGTCTCTCAAGTACCCAGATCCAATACCATGAAGGGCTTTATAAGTTACGACTAGCACCTTGAAGCGTATCCGGAGACTGATCGGTAACCAGTGCAGCTCGCGGAGGATAGGTGTAACGTGGGTGTACCGAGCTGCACCCACAATCGCTCGCGTGGCTGCATTCTGGACGAGTTGAAGTCTTCGAATACTCTTCAAGGGCTGCCCCATGTAGAGCGCATTGCAGTAGTCCAGTCTTGAGGTCACGAGGGCGTGAGTGACTGTTGCGAGCGCCTCCCGGTCCAGGTAGGGACGCAACTGGCGCACCAGGCGAACCTGGGCAAATGCCCCCCTGGTCACAGCTAACAAATGGTGTTCTAAAGTCAGCTGTGGATCCAGGAGGACCCCCAGGTTGCGAGCCCTGTCTGAGGGCCGTAGATTTTCACCCCCCAGCCTGAGTGATGGAATATTGACCAAGTTTTTGGGAGGGAAACACAACAGCCTAACTTACCTAACTCTTAATTCTCATACATCTCAGAAAATATTTAAGTAAATGACAATGAAATAAAATGTAACAAAAAATATGTTTAGTCTCACAGTTATTCTTGATTATCACTATTATCTCAACCTTTAAGAGGAAGGGGTTAATAAATGTAATAGATGTATTATAGCCATGCCAATGTTCCCCAACAACATTATCAATTACCACAAGAAAGAATTATCCAGGTTTCTATAGTTGATACTGAAATACTCTTTATTAAAGGATTCATATTTTATACAACAAAATACAACAAGAGTTTGAACAATTCCTTTCAATTCTAAACAGACATTATGTATGTTTACTAGTTGCTTAGGACACCTTTAAGGCATCTACATGTCTTACTCTATGTGGCTTAATGGGAAATGGGGGAAAATCAAGAAGTTAAAAGAAAAAAGATTTGTGTGAGGTAGAATTAAGAACCGTTTGAGCACATATGAAACATGCATGTAAAGTTAGTATATGTTTTATGAATGCTAAACAAAAACCTAATTATGCACTTGAAACAGAATATTCATTGAATTGTATAAAATAAAGATGCTAATAATGAGGGAAAAGATCTGATAAATTAGCCAGGGAACTCAGTGGAAAAACCATGACTAATAATAGTGAGAGCTAAGAATGTATCATGAGGTCTGTTAAGAATCAAGGAAGATATGGATCAGCCCATCAGGATGGAGAGTGTTTAGCTAAGTCACACCCAAAGTTTTTTATTTTCTCATTGATACAAAAGAGTCTACCAAAGGTGGAAGAGAAAGAGCTATGAGACATTGATGTTAAAAGATTCTTTTCCTGACTGTGGAGAGATTATATAAGCTATCTATTAGTTGGCTCTTTTACTACCAAGGTTGACTCTGGTAAGAAAACTGCTATGAAAGTTACAGTACATCGTGACTAGAGGTGGGTTGCTCCTGGTTTGGCAGTGGTGATTTGGCAGAACCGGCAGCGACCCTGACCATTCATGCCCCCGAACCAGTTCCCCGGTCTCTTCTTCCATTGATGGCATGCTTCTACGCATGTGCAGAACAATTTTTAGTCAACTGTGCATCTGTCAGCAATGTGTGGTTGGCATGCACACAAGCAAAGCGAGCAGCGCATGCAAAGCATGCATGCAGCAAACCAGTGCCAACCAGTTCAGGAACCCACCCACCCCTGATCATGACCATATGCTTCGCATTGATTTTATAACTATATTCAGGTCCCAAAGGAGATTTTTCAGGAGGCAACTGGACTTTCTTGTTTTTTCTTTGAAGATGTTTCGCTTCTCATCCAAGAAGCTTCTTCAGCTCTGACTGGATGGTGGGGAATAGAAAGATTTATATTCCTTGCAAATAACGGGTCATTTGCTTTCTTTCTGAGGGTCGTTGAAACACTTGGTGGTTTATCTATGTCCTCAGGGTCACCTCAATAGTGCTATGGTTTCTGTAGTCAGCACTTTTTTCTCTGGAAATCTATTCCTACTCTCACACCCTTCAAAGAGTGTTCATCCCAAATTGCATAGCTAAAAGTCTAGAAATTCTCAATAATCCAGGTTATGGTTATCCCAAAGGTGCTTTTTCAGGAGGCAATTGGACTTTCTTGTTTTTTCTTTGAAGATGTTTCACTTCTCATCCAAGAAGCTTCTTCAGCTCTGACTGGATGGTGGGGAATGGAAGGATTTCATTCATTCATGATCCAGCATTATTATGAAAAGAGATGCATGGAGTACAATAATAAAATTTAGCAACCTTTAATTCAATTTTCACTCTGAGCAACAAGAACTAATGAGTCATATTTCTCTCTGGGTAATATTTTTATTAAAAGTGAAAGAGTAAGGTTGCTTCAACCCAGAAGACTTCTGATGTTTCTCATACATTTCTCTTTGACTGAAAACCACAAGAGGAACTGCAATTTATTTTTGACTTCTGTCTCACCTTTTTTGGTATATATCCAATTATGTTTTGTCCACATCAATCAGTACAAATAAAGAAACTGTATTTCAGAAAATTATTTTTATTGAAGCAACGATAACCATTTGTGCATGTGTTTCAGAGTCAAAAGCTACATCTTGGCGCTTTGTCCCATCTCCACTCTCATTTTTAAACCAGAAATGGTGCTAGACTTCTTTGGCTGCCTGCTACACTCCTATAAATATTTGGTGTAAATGCATGATATGAATCAAAAATCCTAATTATTTTTGTACAGCAGGACATCTAGAATTTATTAAAGGTACTCTTAGAAAATAACTATCATGATGGGTGTGTTCATTCATAAGTTGATTCACCTCTAATCAAATATGTCCTAAGAATATCTGGATTATATGTTGGTCCCAGAAGTATTTTTAAAATAAAAAATATGTTTAAGCCTGCTGCTTTCCATATAGTTTTATTTCTTTATTTAAAGAATCTAAATCAAATGAAATAGTGAGGCATGGCTCTTGTAGGTTCCAGAGGAGATATCTCCAGGCACAGTATCACAATAGGGATCCAACTTCTAGATTTGATCCTCTGCAGCATGTTACAAAATTTAAAAGGCTGAGCCTAGAATAGTTTGTATCTTTAAAAGTTAATAACAATATGTATTGACTTACTCCATAGTCATTATTTGGGTGATACAATTTCCAAATCATATTACAGGCTGGACGGCTTCTGAAAAAACTACTACTTTCTCAAACTGAGAAATTTACAGTGGAATGAAATGAATATGAATTGCTTCATATTTATATTGTCTGACTATTTGGTAATCTAACGGTCCATTTTCTCTCTACTCAAAAAGATGTGACATGAAAGCAGCTACTTAGTTATATAATCAATATTGATCTGCTTTCATGAATAATGTAACCTTCAAATTATCAAAGCAGTTGATTCATCATTATTCATTTTCATGCAGTCTGTACAAGTGTAAACAGATGACTGGATCTTGGTTCATTAAAATAATTATTTTGCTCTGAATTTGCATTTTTAAATACATATTTGAAAACTGAGTAGTGCGCAGCAATTGAAAAATCTGTTCTTGGGGTATCAACACAAATGTTCTCTATTTAAAATTAAAGCAGAATTATCAAAACAATTCTACCTGTATACATTTAAATATTTCAATTATTACGCTTTCCTATAAAAGTTACATTTTGGGTCAAATAATCTCCAATTGAATATTTTACGTAACTATTGATGAGAAATTAAAGTACAATGATATTTTAACAATACATTTTATGCTCATTTTTCTCAGGAAAAAAGGGGTTACAAAAAGCAAGTAATCCTGTGAAATATATACTGTGATATAACAGAACTCTCTCATTTGGCTTCCCAAAGTGAGAAAATATCATTTATATTTTTTAGATTTTGGGAGCATTTTCACTGGTGTATATGTTCAGTATGGAAAATTGCTCTAGGTTAAGACCAGAAAAAAATCATAAGCCGGTTATATTCATTACATCTAAACCCACTTAATAATTTTAAAGACACTCTTTACCTTATCGGGAGATGGGCAGCATTATAAATTTAATAAATAAATAAATAAAATACCTGGAGTGTCTGTCCAAATCGCTTCAAGGGAGTTGTTCGGACAGGAGGAATTAAGCTTGCTAGTGATGTCACTCTGGAAAGAGGCTTGACCCGTTTGTTACTGGGCTCCTGTAAATTTTAGACAAATTAATTACATATAAGCATTGTTATATAGGTGATTGTAATCATAATACAAGATAATATAAGAGGAATAGATAATACAATAGGAAAGCCACAAAAAATGTTACCTAGTCAGTCACTGCCCATCCCCCAAGTGTTTAACTAGTAATAGGGATTTTTTGTTTTTTAGGCAACACTGACTTAAGTCAGATTTACATCAGGTCATTAAACATGTTTATTCTTATATTGTGTTGGGGTCAAGTAAGTGTAGGGACTCAGAAGATCACTCCATTGAGACCCTACTATCTAGATGATCTCATGTGACATTGAGAATATAACACATCCGTATGACACTGATTTGTAATGGCCATTTTTCTTCTGGGGCCCCTGAAGTCTCCTAAAACAGTGCAAAGAAAGAATGTTATTCTCATGCTTTGTGTATATGTATTCAATCTTCATGGGTACTTCCTGAGTGCTATTAAAATATTGTGTGTTACATTCTCATGCAAGCATATTTACTATCATCTTATGGCATTCTCTCCCTCCAACCCACACACTAACAACCCTCAGCATTTCATGATTTAAGTTGCTCTTTTTACTGTGTTCCTCAGGGTTAAGTTATCTTCATCAAATCCTTCTGAGATTTCTTTCTTTTTCTCTTTTAATTTATAAAGTAATATCCTTTTGTGTTAGGGATCATTTTTTAAAATCTTTTTTGTTTGTTTCAGTGTTGATAGTTCCATTTCTTAAGATAGCTGCTTGGATCACTGGTCATAATATCTGGGATGATGGGAACTGTGGTCCAATACATGAAGGCAACATTAAGGATGGCTAAGCTATGGCTAAGCTATAGTAATATATTTCCTCAATAAAGATATTTTTTGTTACCCAGCTCTAGCAAACATGAAATGCCTGCAAATGCCAAGAAACCATGTTTTGGTTGGTTGGTTACTGTGTGTGTCTGTGTGTAGGGGACACATAGCCTAAAATGAGTGAGATATATTCTTCAAAATGGGGCTTTCTATTTCAAAAGTGTATACAGAATTACATTTTGTTAAACAACCTCATCCCAAAAATTTAGTTCCCAAAACAATTTCTTATCTCTTTTAATAACATAAAAGATTCAGCTGCTATGGATGTTTTGATGAGCTCATTCTTTGAAGGGCACAGATACAGTGTAAAAACATAAAAAACGTGTTATTAACCTCAAATATTTCTCCCTCAAATCATTATACATTTCTGTATTCAATAATTATGTTTTGAAACAGATAAAAGTTAGAGCATTAAAATGATAATATCTATAAAGAACATTTGCACATTTAACATTTTGTTGTAAACTGTTCAACATCCTATCTTTATCTAAATGCACCAAAAATATAAGTACATTTATTATTTTTAAACATTTAATAAGCATCTAGCATTCAGTAAGAGACATAAATAATATATCATACATTATTTAAATCAATATTTATCAAGATTTTCTGAATAAATATTAAGTTACTTCTGCATGCCCGAAAAATATAAACAAAATTGACAAAACCAATAAATAATTTTTAAAGTTGATGATTACCCTTGCCTTCCTAATATCCATCCTGTACTGAAGAGATCTTGGGCAGCACATATAAAAAGCAAAATCTGAGAGAAAAAAACGCAAAATGTTCCGGGTGATGTGAATTTTTTCCCAAAAAATATAAAAAAATAAAAACAAAAACCATAGGACTTCTAGAAGATACGAATTTACTAACTCATCAAAAACCATACTTTAAAGAAAATTTTAAGCACAATCACCTCTCTTTTTCAGCCATAATTATAAAGTTTACTTAAGCACCTTGTAATTCCAGGTTTTTTTTTGGGGGGGGGGGAATTCCCAGGGAAAATAAGCCAGATCTTACTGTAATCTTCCATATGTTAGTAAATTCATGGTGGCAATTCTTCTTGTAAACAACAACCAACAATCAAAAACCAGGACAGTGGCAGCTTCTTTAATTTTGGTAAGAAATACTATTTCCATCAGTGCAAATATGGATAGGAGAATCAAATGCAAAGCTATGTATTTATTTCTCTAAGATGAAGCTGAAGTTCATCACTATCCCTTAAAACCAGGCACTAAAATGTGAAAAAGCCTCCCGTATATCAAAACCCTATTCCGTTGTGGATGCTCTGCAAACAACAAAAGCCAGCTTGCCCTCATCTTTAGCCAAGGTGGATTCAATTTCCTTTGTCTTCGGCAGCGGTGACTTAGCTCAGTCTTTTGGATGGTACATTTATTTTTACGCCACTGCAGCACCACCAGAATACTGAACACAGGAGAAGAGTCGTTGAGCATTCGTTCACTCATTCACTCTCGTTCTCCTCTAAATGGCCCTTCAAGCCCCCAGCTGCTTCTTGCTCATGCATGCCGTTGCTGCTCTGTGTGCCACTGTTCTCCTGGGGGCGGAGAAAGGTTTCTTGTCAATACCCACTGCAGTCCCAGGCACCTAAATCCCAAATGCATGGGGAAGAGCTATGCCGCAATCTCCTTTTCTGAAAGGGTGATAGTCTTCAGAATATAATAACCAATATCAAACTAGACTGGTACCAAAATTGCGTTTCTGGTATTATCAAAAACTTGTTATCTCTACACTGTAATTCCAGGAAGTAAAACATAAAACTTCTGAGATGTTTAGAAATTCCTTCTTGTTAATTATCTGACTTTTCGCTATGAACAATGACCTTCATAAAAATAAAACACACTAACTCCAGATAATAAGAGGAAAACTCATCTGAGGCTGAAGATACTGGTTTGTTCCAACCTTTGTTGTTGGAACGAAGTGTCTTTTAGACATTTTACCAAACCTTTGAAACCATGCTCATGAATAGCCTTTGCAGTTAAGAAGAAAGAAATCGATTTTCAATCTAGATCCAAAGTCCTTTCAAAGTATTCTGTTAGGGGCTGCAGGTTAACAGTGGATGAGGCCACACTTCTGCCTTCCCTCTTTGTCAGACATTCTCTTTCTCCCTCTGCTTAACTGGCTGCCAATACAGAGACAGATCACTGATTACTTGCTATGTATAGTTTATACTACCCAATCACATGGGCAAGGACCTTTGTTTGGTCTTTTCTGCAGAACTAATGCTCCCTGTCCTATTAAAAATTAATTTTCAGAAGCCATTTAATTTCCTCTTGCTCTTTGACAATCCTCCCCATTAGCATTCATGTACTACCATTTTGCATCTAGCTGAAAAAAATCTCTAAAGGACACTCAAATAAAAGGACAAACTTCAGTGGTAATATATATTTACATACATGATATACTTTCCTAAGCTTAGTAAATACCTGACTATGGAGACTGCTACTAGGCTAATCTACTAGTGTAGTTAGATGGTTACCAGAGCTTACTGTGCTAAGGCAGTTGTTGAAAAAATAGCATTGCCGCGTCTTTCAAAGTGATACAGGACTGGCACTTTTTGTTTGTTAATTATCTTTCTAGCTATTCAGCAATTATTCATAAATCAGCATCTCACACACTGCTGGAATAATCTCTGAAGAGCAACTTCTTAAATTTTATCCCATTCTTCTGGGCCATTCTGTAAGCTTGCATAGATCTTTTAAATGATCTCTTTCTCTTCTAAAGAGTTAGCCACTCCTCCTAGTTTTTGGCCACCTGCGAATGTTGTTATTCTCCCTCTTGATTCAGATCATTAACAAAAATATTGAACAACAGAAGCCTTGTACAGCCTTGTAACATGTCATTTGATACTATTTAGCAGGCTGATCTGGAGCTACTTGTGTGTCATGCACCCAATAATGAATTCATTTAACAGCTGTATCCTAGCCTGTGTTTTTATCTTTTTATTAATGGGGATATCATGAGAGACTTTGACAAACCTTTTGCTGAGATCAAGGTATATAGTACATCTACACCAATCTATTAAGCTGATACATCTGTCAAAAAAGTGGGTAAGATTAATGAAACATGACTTGTTTGTGACAAACCCATGCTGATTCTTGTGGATTAGGCATTTCTGTCTTAATGCTCACAAGTATGCTGTTAATAGCCTGCTTTAGGATTTTGCCCAGTGCAGCTGTCAAACTGTAATTTTTTAGGTCCTTCATTTTCTACTTTTGAAGATGTTGATGCTTGCTTTCCTTGTTTTTCTAGGCCTTGTCAGTTTTCACTGGGACTCAAAAAGTTCACTTAGTCACTTTGAGATCACCTCTGGTTTTACCTTCAGTAGAATCAGATGTAATTGATCCAGCCCTGGAGACTTGGATTCATTTAAAATTAATGAAATGCTATATTACTCTCTTCCTATCTTAAGTGGCAATTTTCTCTTCCCTTCCTACTATTGGCACAAAAAGATGTAAGAGTAAGTCTAGGACTGAACAACTTGAGCAACACACACAAACACAGACTCTCACAGCTGCAGATTTCCCCCTTATCAATGAAGAAAGCAGCGTCCTAGCAAATGCACCATAGTGCTTTGAGGGAGAGTCTCAGAAAAATTCTATCAATGTACATCAGGGGTGTCAAACTTGTATCGTCAGGCAGTGTCATGTGACGTATCAGGACTTTCCCCCCTTCACCAAACCAGGTGGGGGCGGGGTCAGCACGTAATGCATACAGCCCATGGGCTGTGAATTTGACACCCCTGATGTACATTCATTAAGATCATTGATTCTAAATTAAAGCGCTCACATGCTGGATTCCTTGTATCACTATTTCTTTCATCCTAATTTTTTTCTCTAAAGACAACTGGCTATCTAGAGTTTTTTTTCATTACTGAAAGAAGATAAATATAAAACACAAGCATTCCATCTTTTTGCCATCTCCTATTACTAATTCATATCTTTTTTTCCCGCAATAATCCTACAGCTTCTATGCCTTTCATTTTTATTCCTGGAATATCAGAGATAGCCTTTTATGTTGTTTGAGGTATTTTTCACAAGCCACAGCTCCTTCTCAACTTTAGGCTTTCTGCCACAATCCCTAGAGTTTCTGGCAACTGCTTTATATCCTTTTTTGGTTATGCAATCTTCCTTCCATTGCCTATAGATATATTTTTTTCTTTTTAGCATTTAAGGAAGCTGTGCATATCCACACTGATATTTGTAATAGTCTACTACTAGTTTGTGATTGTACATTTTTTTTCTTCCACTAGCAATTGCTAGTGTGACTGTACCTTTAATTGTTTTACAACATTTCCCATCCTTCTCAGTCATTATTCTTCGTCAGGTTTTGAAGTTACATTTATTCATTAGTTTTCTACATACCGTATTTTCTGACGTATAAGGCAACTGGGTGTATAAGATGATCCCCTACTTTTCCTGTTAAAATATAGGGTTTGGACTATACTTGCCATATAAGACTACCCCTCTTCCGAGGCATACCAAATAGCCAATCAGCCTCCATTTTATTCCCAGCGCCTTTCCCCAGCTTGGAACTGAACCAGGTGGTTTTTCCTTCCAACACTCCCCTTCCCCAAACTGGACCCCAGTTGAGTCAGTTTGGCTTCTTCTGGCGACGGCGGTGAGGTGGGGGGGGGGGTACAGGCTTCAGTCTAATTCAGGCCGAAAATCTGAGCCCCACATCACTGCTTTGAAAGCAAAGGCAGCTCCGGGCCACCTTTCGTACCCTGAGGGCTTTTCCCAGCGCTTCAGAGTGAGAAGCCGCCGCAAGCATCCTCCCTGCCCAGCAACTCTCCCCACCGCCTCAGTTGATGAAGGAAAAAGGCGGAGAACCAAAGGAAACGCCGGGATGTGGATTACCACCAACACCACCCCCGCTCCCACGAAACAGCGGGTTTCCTCGCTTGAAGAGAAGTAAATGGCCCACAAACCGCCAAGGCTAAGAGCATTGCCTGTATTATAGGGCTTCCCAAGCTACTAGACTGGATTCTGTCTCCGAAAAACAGAATATGAGGCACTATGCCGGCTTTATTTTTTTTGAAAGCTGCCCTAATCCTCCACCTCTTTCCAGAGTCAAAAGGTTGCAAACATTGATCATACCACCTTGGGACACAGCAACCATCGTAAATTTGAACCAGTTGCCAAGCATCTGAATTTTGATCCCCTGACCATGGGAGATGCTACAAAGGTTGTAACTCTGAAAAAATGATCAGAAGTCATTTTTTTCCAGTGAGGGTGTAAGTTTGAATGGTCACTAAAGGAACTGTTATAAGTGGAAGCCTACCTGTAGCTTCCAGCTGTATTGTGTCATGCAGGTCCCAAAAGCAGATCAGGAAAGGCTGTTTTGATTACCCATGGGATTCCACTATAGGAGAAAGTTCATCTTGTTCCTTTTTAATCCCTGGCCCAGCTCACCTTGTCTATTATTTCAGTTACCAAACTTTTAATGCGAAGACAAGCCCACCACAGACACCAACATCGTACAACACATGAGACAGACTACTAAATTAACGTGATTAAGGCAGCGGGCTGTGCAGGGGTGCACGCACATGTCTGCCTGTGTTGGAATTTCAGTGCAGGAGCTACACACACGCACACACACAAAAGGCCAAGCCAGGGGGAGGAGGGAGACATCCAAGTCTTACACTTTCCAAGGGCGGGCTCCCTTCTACTGCGCCGCTCTCCGGGGCCACAAGCACCCCATTTTCCTGCTGCCCCCCCAAGATGTCAGGGGTGGCAAAGCGCGAGGGGAACCAGCAGCAGTGGAGCACTCCAAGCTGGCACCAACAGTCAGCCCGTCGGCTCCTCTGCCTGCTAGCAGCAGTGCAACAGCCCAGCCAGGTGGGGAGGCGGTGCTTGGGTCCCAAGGCGTGGGCTGGGCTGGTAGGGGCAACAGAATGGAGGAGGAGTGAATGGCAAGCTGAGAAGGGCGGCCAGTTTTTTTCCTCCAAACAACCTCATTCAAATGAGCACGTTTTTAATCAACATCAATATCGTTCTTTTATTTTTTATACACCGGTTGATGGTTTTGTTTTGATTTTTTGGTATGGCCTTTTTTATACCCAGCATATAAGATGACCCCCAATTTTTGAAATAATTTTTTGGGTTAAAATTTGTCATACATTGGAAAATACGGTAGTTCTTTCAGCAAGACTATCCTGCCTTCAAATTTCTTTCTGAACAATTAAAGGAGTGCTATCTCCATTTTTCTTGCAGAAAATAAGCCAGTTGTTTCTGATGATTCAGCACTAGAAAGGCACTGACCTGAATCAGTATTAAAAAATTACAATATGATCAGCACAAATGTTGCAAAAATAACTTTTTCACGTTTGCTGTTTCTTAGGAAGCTATTTTTCACCTAATAAAGGCTGTACGCATAAGTATGCTTGGGACTAATATGGTTTGTTTAACAAAAATCTTCTGTTAATACAGTAAGATGGAACAACTGCACAAATGGAAAAAAGATCTTAGAATGATAAATCCTGAGGATCTACTCTAACTCTAAAATT